TTAAATAAAACAACCCACCTGAGAACTTGCTACTGTTAAGTGGTGAAATCAACTGGAGTTGGCTCCTACAAGTTGTGTTTATTCTAGTTTTGTTTGTAAGTAGGTCGTGTGAGTTAATTCATTTATATTTACTATATGTCTTTTAAATTATAACATATTTGTTATTATGTATGTCCTTTTAGATTTTATCTGCAGCTCATACTTTGCAATCATCACCCAGTAGTGTCTTATTCTAGCATCGTGTAAATCTGAGCATCATCTGGTGGACTCTTAAACTTCAGTAGAAACCATGAGTTATTCATACATTTTCCATTCAGATATCAGTATCAGAAGGAAACGTAAATGAATATTCTAAATAAGGCTAATTTATATGAATCTGCCTTTATGTTTGGGGGAAAAAAGCTGAGACATTGCATGAAAGATGATGCAGGATATACGCTGATCTTTTGGCCCCATTGAGCTATTCGAACATTGTCCTGTTCTATTGTCAGTTTTCTTCATCATTTATTATATGGTCAATTTTTGAATTCCTGTAATATGAGACCCTTTTCTAGCTTTTAACTTATTGTGACCTAAAGTTAATAAGTCCAGATTATATGGTCATTTAAAAAAAAGAAAAGAAAAATCCCTCACAGTTCCGTTTATTAAATAAGTAAACCCCACTAATAAGTATTTGTGTCCTGGCTTATAGTGGATGTCTAGAAAAGTAATACATAAGGAAAAATGTTCATCTTATTTGTTTAGTCATGGGATGTGTGTGCCTGTCGAGCACCTCTTCAACTTGGAATCTGATAGAACACCGCCACCCTCATTGCCTCGTTTTTCGTCGACTTTCACAGTAATTGCTTGTTCTGTAACTGCCACAACCCAGCATGGCAGAGAGAGGGAAGACACCCTACAAAGCAAGGTAATGTTAACGTTGAGACCATGAACGGCCCTGAGCAGAGCAGAGCATCACTGCTTCCTTCAACATTAAGGAGGATCTGATGGTGCCCTGTGAGTTCACGGGGGTGCCTCCGTGTAGACTGGAAACCACAGCTCTGTGTCCTTCCCTCTTTCGCTCTTGATCGGTAGAAAGGTACCCTCCCTGGCCTGTGCGTCGCCGGGTCACATGGCACCGGCTGTGGTTGCACAAAGCCACCGCCACCGGTAATCCTTTGAGGCCATTTGTTTCCAGCCTTGGTGCCTGTAGGATTTTTTCCTTTATCCTATAATTTCAGCCAAATCAGAGCATGTGACCTGGCTTAGATGTCAAGATAACTGTTGTTATGTGCTCTTTTCCCTTCCTGTGTCTGGGACAGGTTTAATTTAACCTGAGAAGGCTGCAGATCCTCGGGGTTGATGTGAAAACAGCTCATCCTGATCTGAGAAGGCGGTCAGCTTTTCTCGTTGTCGCCCTTGGCTGACAGCACCCATTCTCTGTGGATGTGAAAATCCTAGAGAGGCTGGGCTTCCTCCTTGGGCATTCCCCAGGCCTGTCTCCAGAGTGGGGCCCAGCATGGGAAGAGTGTAGCCCACTCACTCCCGATGTGGGCCTTGGACCTGCAGCTCCACAGCGCCCATGGAATGTGGGCAGAAGCAACAGCAGCCGGGTCCACCTCAGCCTTAGGGCGGCGCGTGTTCTGCATGTGCTCTGAGAGCCTCCACCTTCCATGCTGTGGGAAGAGGGTGCCCAGGGAGCTACAGTCCCTCCAGCCCAGTCCCAGGACAAGGCCCAGGCAGCAGAGCCATCCCAGCTGACCTGCCAGCGTGAGAAATGCGTGTGTACACACTGAGTGTTCAGGTGGCTGTTACATGGCATCATTGACTGACACAGACAGAAAAGAGATCCACAAGGGAGAAGTGAGAGTGCTGGAGACTCCACAGGCCACAGGCCACAGGGGCAGGATGGCTTCTGAGGAGGTGAAATGATTCTTCTGGGAATAATGTCACTCTGTCTGACAGAGGAAGACATGGAGGCTCCAGATGGTTGAAGGCCCAGCAGTGATCCCAGACAGGCCCCACATCAGACCAGGCTCCTCCAGGGCTGTGCTGCCGTCACCAAAGCCCATCCTGAGGGCAGCCACATGGCAGGCAGTGCTCGCCATTTGTACAGCGAGGCCCAGGTTCCAGCCTGCCTTCTGGCAGGTAGAGAAAGCAGGGGCACTGCCTGGGAGAACCTGAAAGCAGATGGGGCAGCATTTGGTCAAGAGCCAGGAGGGGATGACAGACCAGAGGGGAACCCTTGTCCCATGTGCTGAGTGCATGTGGGGGGCTGGGCACTTGCTCTGTGAGCTATAATTGGTGTCCCTGTGCCCCGCTGGAAGCTGCACCAGGCAGCTTCTTGGTGGAGGACAGTGGCCGCCCTCTAGCCTTACTCCCTCCCCCGCGATGGGTCGCTGTGAGATGTGTGTCCAGGAAAGGCAACCACCAAAGGCAGAGGACTAATTCCTACACCAAATCCTCTGGTGGCCTTGCTTGGGGACTGGATTTTGACATGCTGGAGGCTGTCCTAGACTCAGAGATTGAAAACAGGGAAGAACCATCACTGAAACCTTTGGAAAAGCCTGCAACGGGGCCTCTGGCAGTCTGAGGAGTGGCGGTGTTTCCATCTCAATAGGAGGGACAGATGAGTGCACTAGCGCTGCCAGCCAGGTGTCTGTCGGTGTGTCTTTATGGAATGGGGCGCCAGTCTTGGTGAAGGTGGTTTACCTTCCTATTTCTAGTCCCCACTGGGCCCACCTTCTGCTTCATGGCCAGCTGGCCAGACCTAGCACTTTCCTGACCTTTGACCTTGGCCCCTGCTGACTCTGGCCCTTGAGGCCTCCTGCAGACCCCATTTGTATTCATTTCCTGCAGTTCTCATACCTGAATCTCGCCTGGACTTCTGCCAAGTCCTCCAGGCCCTCCCCCCCCAGGAGGACCACAGATACTATGTGCAGGGCTGTCCTTGGGGGGCTAGCACACCCCTTCCGAGCGGGCAAGACCCAGGGGTGGCTCAAAAGATAGCTGTGCCCTCGCCCTGGAACCTCTGAATGTTGATTTTTGTAGCAAAAAAGGATGCAGATGTGAGTAAAGGCTGGTGAGATAAGGACATCATCCCTGCTCTCTGGGAGGACCCCAAATGCAGGCACATACATCAGAAGACGAGGCAGCGACTAGGGTGATGCAGCCACAGCCAAGGAAGGCCAAGGATTGCTGGCAGCCTGCAGAAACTGGAGGGCAAGGAGCGTCCCCGCAGGGCCCCCAGGAGGAGCAGGGTCCTGCTGACACCCTGACTGCCGACGTCCAGTCTCCAGAACTGTGAGAGGATCCATTTCTATTATTTTAAGCAACCAAACTTGTGGTAGTTACAGCAGCCTCAGGAAATAAATACAAATGGAAAATCAAAAAGATTCCAAGAAATGAATGGACCTGGCCGGGTGCAGTGGCTCACACTTGTAATCCCAGCATTTGCAGGAAGATTGCTTGAGCTCAGGAGTTGGAGACCTTGTCTCTACGAGAAACTTAAAAAATAGGCTGGGTGCTGTAATCCCAGCACTTTGGGAGGCTGAGGCAGCGGATCACAAGGTCAGGAGATCGAGACCATCCTGGCTAACATGGTGAAATCCCATCTCTACTAAAAAATACCAAAACAACTAGCCAGGCGAGGTGGCGGGCGCCTGTAGTCCCAGCTACTCAGGAGGCTGAGGCAGGAGAATGGCGTGAACCCCGGAGGCGGAGCTTGCAGTGAGCTGAGATCTGGCCACTGCACTCCAGCCTGGGCGACAGAGCGAGACTCTGTTTCAAAAAAAAAAAAAAAAAAAAAAAACCCCAAGGTCATGAGTTTGAGGCCAGTGTGACCAATATGGTGAAACCCCCGTCTCTACTAAAAATTCAAAAATTAGCCAGGTGTGGTGGTGTGTGCCTGTAATCCCAGCTACCCAGGAGACTGAGGCAGGAGAATCGCTTGAACCTGGGAGGCAGAGGTTGCAGTGAGCCGGATAGTGTCACTGCACTCCAGCCTGGGCAACACTTCGCCTCAAAACTCTGCCTCAAAAAAAAAAAAAACAAACAAAAAACCAATAGCTGGGCTTGGTGGCATGCACCTATAGTCCCAGCTACGTGGGAGGATTGCTTGAAGCCAGGAGTTCAAGACCAGTCTGGACAACACAGAAAGACCCCATCTCTACCAAAAAAAAATTTAAAACTTAGCCAGGCACGGTGGCACACCCATAGTCTTAGCTACTCAGGAGGCTGAGGAGGGAGGATTATCTGAGTCCTGGAGGTCAAGGCTATAATGAGCCATGATTGTGCCACTGCACTCCAGCCTTGGCAACATAGTGAGAGACCCTGTCTCAAAAACAACAAAAACCCAAAACAAAAACAAGAAATGACTAGACCTGAGGCCTGGCCTTTAGCTGCTGCCCTGCCCTTGTGATCTGGTCCCTCAGGATCCCCTGGGCCTAAACACACAGCCTATTGTCCACTTCAAGAAGGCTCCCCACTGCCTGGCTGGCAATTGGGGTGGGCCTTGCAGCCCCCACCTGTCCTAGCCCCATGGCGCTGGTGCTGCAGGCCCCCGCCGCTGCTTGTTCCAAGCTCCTCAGCCTCCTGCAGGGTTGCCTGCACCTGATGGTGATGAATCAGGAAGGCAGGCGTGTCCTGGGCCACAGAGCAGTCATGGCTGTTCAGCCACCAGGGGGCTTCATTTGCAACCTTGGATGTGGCTTTGGCCTCTTACTCCAAGGTGTCCTTGGGGCCCCCAGACAAGAGACGGGAGACTGGAGCCCAGCCCCACCCTCCTGCACATACCTGGCCCATCCCTGCCCTATGCTGGAAAATGGGGGCCACTGCACGTGCAAGGGACACAGGACAGGAACCTTTGGCCTTGTTATCAGATATTTTAAAACCAAGTACAAACATGGTTATCAGGTGCAGTTTTTACAGCAGCAAGAAACCTGTGCTTGCAGAAATAAACACATGCCAGCAACCCACCTATGCGGAAAGCCACACAGAGCCATTGTTTTCTGTACCCTCAGGTGACATTGCCCCAGGGAAGGTCACAGCTGCCTGAACCTTTAAAACTCCCGGACACACACTGCCTGTGCAGGGTCTGGAACCCAGCAGCACTGCCAGGGCCTTGAAGTGCTTCTTCAGAGACCTCTCTTCATAAACGACTTTTTTTCTTAAAGCAGCAAAAGGAGAAAATTGACATCAAAGGATATTCCAGATTCTTGATAGCATTCTCATCATCTCTGAGGACATCACCATCATCTCAGGTGAGCACCAGGTGGAGTGCCTCCGGGTGACTGGCCAGTTCGGAGCAGGAAGGGAGGCTTAGCGTCTTGTCCTCCAGCGGATAGTGAGGAGGAGGCTCCAGCGTCCCTCCTGGGCGGGTTTTCTGGTGGATGGGAGAGTGACTCGGGGTCCTCCATGTGGTGCCAGCTGTTTGGGTTTCTGGACGTTGTAGGAAAGGCTTGCGGGGGTTTCCCCTGCCCACGTCCCCCGACCTTGAGCTGCACCAGCCCCTGCCAGCTGGGCCCCTGGAGGCTGGAGTGCTGTGGCAGGGATGACGTCTCACTTCTGTTATGTCTCTGCGCCCTGTGCTCTCCCAGGATGAGGGGCATGAGGCTGCTGGGGGCTGTGCTGGCACTGTTGGCCCTACTGCAGGGGGCCGTGTCCCTGAAGATCGCAGCCTTCAACATCCAGACATTTGGGGAGACCAAGATGTCCAATGCCACCCTCGTCAGCTACATTGTGCAGGTGAGGCCAGGGCGGCCTCTCCCCAGAAGCAGAGGGGCTCTGGAGTCTGGGGCTGGTGGGCGGGGCCAGCCGTGTGGGGCCACAGAGTGTCGGGTGTGGGGTACTGAGCACCTCTGCCCACAGCCCGGCAGAACAGGCTCTTGGCTGCGGACCAAGGTCCTTGTCCCTGCTGTGCTGTCCTGTCCCTGGCTGGCAGCAGGAGCCCAGGCAGAAACATGAGGCTGCAGCTAAACCGAGCAATGCCACGAGCAATGTGGCTCCCTTTGTGGCAGTGTGGGGTCCCTAGGTGGCACCAGCCCTGCTCAGCACCACTGTGGCCCTGCCCCCAGATCCTGAGCCGCTACGACATCGCCCTGGTCCAGGAGGTCAGAGACAGCCACCTGACTGCCGTGGGGAAGCTGCTGGACAACCTCAATCAGTGGGTGACAGTGGCAGGGTCCTAGGGAGGTGACATCTCGTCCAGGGCACAGTCTCACTTCACTTGGGCCCCAAGGGTGGGGACCTGGGCACAGCCTTGCTGTTGGCAGCCAGAGGTGTCCCCTAAGCCCCCTGCCCACTGGGACCTTTTGTTTCCTCAATCCAGGGATGCACCAGACACCTATCACTATGTGGTCAGTGAGCCACTGGGACGGAACAGCTATAAGGAGCGCTACCTGTTCGTGTACAGGTGGGTGGTCCAGAAAGCCAGGAAGCTCCTCCTTCACCTAGGAGGGCCTCAGCAGAGCAGGGAAGTAGTCTGTCCTATGGGGCAAGAACCTGAGGCTGCAGGGCAGGTCCAGGGTGGAGTCAAAACACCCTCCTGAGGTCCCAGACCCATGGGGTGAGCAGGTGGCGGCCTGCCCGCCCGCCCTCCTGTCTGTGATGCAACGCCTGCCTCCTGGGAAGCAAGAGTGGGGCAGCTTCCAGCCTGGGGTCACCTCTTCCTGCCCGGCCTTCCCACAGGCCTGACCAGGTGTCTGTGGTGGACAGTTACTACTACGATGACGGCTGCGAGCCCTGTGGGAACGACACCTTCAGCCGAGAGCCAGCCATCGTCAGGTTCTCCTGCCCATTCACAGGTGGGTGCTGCCACACGGGGTGCTGCCTGGGCCAGGGTGGGGCACAGCTTGGTGCTTACGGCCTCCACCCCCTCCTAGGGAACCTGGAATGCCTGTGTCACACACTGCCCTCCCAGTCCCTGGGGCTTGGGTTTTCCATTCATTTGGAACATGACCCCCCGGGGGACTGTCATGATTCACAGTTCCAACTGACTTGGTGACTGAACCTGCCCCCAGGGAGTGGCCGCTGCACAGAGGTCAGGGAGTTTGCCATTGTTCCCCTGCATGCGGCCCCAGAGGACGCAGTAGCTGAGATCGATGCTCTCTATGACGTCTACCTGGATGTCCAAGAGAGATGGGGCTTGGAGGTGAGACCCTCCCAGGGGCAGTGGGCACCAGCGGCCTCCGCTTGTCCCTGGGCCCACAGGCAACGTTTCCTGGTAGGACGTCATGTTGATGGGCGACTTCAATGCGGGCTGCAGCTATGTGAGACCCTCCCAGTGGTCATCCATCCGCCTGCGGACGAGCCCCACCTTCCAGTGGCTGATCCCTGACACCGCTGACACCACAGCTACATCCACACACTGCGCCTACGACAGGTGAGCAGCGTATCGCGCTTAGGGCAAAGAGCAGCCGTGACTCATATGTCCGGCTTCAGAAGTCTCAAGGCCTTTGGACACTCACCCAACTGAACTTCAGTTGATCCACTCAGGAAAAAGAATAACAAGAGCCACGATTTTTAGTTTTTTAGGAAAAGCACATTTGGGGATAAGAGGAGAGGCAGACACATTAGGCTGTCACGTGGTTTCCACTTTGAGGGGCACAGGCCAGGGTGTGCAGTTTTGGGCGCCCACAGACCTGCACTGTCAGGTCCCAGGGCTCTTAGTTTAGTTCCTGTGAGCCCTGAGCCAGGTCCATGGGTGACAGGGGAACCTACTCTCTCTTCCCAACACCCATCAGGATCGTGGTTGCAGGGACGCTGCTCCAGGAGGCCGTTGTTCCTGACTCGGCTCTTCCCTTTAACTTCCAGGCTGCCTATGGCCTGAGTGACCAACTGGTACGTGTCCTCCCTTGCACAGTCACATGGGGATGGGACACAGGAACTTAGGCTCAGGCCAGACCCTGTGCCCACTTGCCTGCAGGCCCAAGCCATCAGTGACCACTATCCAGTGGAGGTGATGCTGAAGTGAGCAGCCTTCCCCACGCCAGCTGAACTGCAGGAAGAGAGGACCCATCCTGCCGCAGGAGCCACACAAACAGCCCAACACTCAGGTTAAGAAATACCTTTTAATTTAGGTCAATAAAGCTCAAGGCGGCGGGGCTGTCATCTGTGGTATCAGTCCTTCTGGCCCCTGGCTGTCAGTGTCGCTCCAGGGCCTTGACAAGCAGCTCATTCAAGCGGCCCACCATGGCCCTAGGGTCGTCAACAAGCCCAGCAGCAATCATGGCGTTCTCGTATATCTGAAAGGCAAGAGAAGAAACCCATTATGAGGGCCGTGGGGCATCTTTTCATTTTTTTTTTTTTGAGACAGTCTCACTGTTGCCCAGGCTGGAGTGCAGAGGCACGATCTTGGCTCACTGCAACCTCAAGTGATCCACCCGCTTCCCAAAGTGCTGGGATTACAGGCGTGAGCCACCACACCTGGCCATTTTTCCCTTTTTAAAGCAGAATTTGGCTGGGCACGGTGGCTCACGAGGTCAGGAGACAACGTGGTGAAACCCCGTCTCTACTAAAATACAAAACAATTAGCCAGGCATGGTGGCAGGCACCTATAATCCCAGCTACTTGGGAGGCTGAGGCAGGGGAATTGCTTGAACCCGAGAGGCGGAGATTGTAGTGAGCCAAGATCGTGCCACTGCACTCCAGCCTGGCAACAGAGCGAGACTCCATCTCAATAAAAAAAAAGGCAGGATTTTGGAGGAAACTGCTGTTCCAGCCTGAAGGTAGGCTATCAGGGCTAGTAGCCCAGATCTGTGCAGTCATCCTGAGCTGCTGCACTCACCTGATCCACCAGCAGCTGGGCCAGGCCAGGCTCACTTGCCCGCAGCTGATTCAGCTTCTTGATGAGCACATGCCTGCAACACAGAACCCACCAGAAAAAGCAGCTCAGGACCACGTACTGCAACCCTCCCTTCATGTTTTGGGATTATCAGAATATTTAGTTTTTTAAAGGTATATAGATGATATGATTATATACCCAGAAAACCCAAGTGAAGCAGGAGTGTCAGTATTAGAAAATGCTGTAAGGTAGCCAAGTTCCAAGATCAAAATACACTAAAGGGACAAAAGGAGCTTATTATGTGAAGACATACCTTGGTTCCTAGATAAATAATAAAAGAAAAGGGAGGAAGTCCCACATGTTGAAACATATTATAGGGCTCTAGTAAATAAAACAGTTTAGCTCTGGAAAGGGGGAAGGCGAACAACTCCATGTAACGAGGGTGGACACTGGTCTGATGAAGACAGTATTTCACAGAAGGGGGAGGAGACAGATCACTCCGTCCGGCAGCACTGGGATAACTGGGAGCCATGCAGAAAACCATTTAGACCAGAGTAAATTCCAGAGGGATCAAAGAAAAGCACAGTTCTGGGGAAGAAATGCTTCATAATCTCAGAAGGGGAAACCCAAAAGCCAAAAAAGCATCATGTAGTATTTAACATGAAAATTATAATTTTTCACTTAGGAGAAGTCTGATAAAACCGAGGGGTCTGGGGAACTGTACATTTGTACAACCTCTCCAGAGGACAACTGAAGTCAGGAAAACCACATGTGGATGTGCTGAGACTCAGCCATTCCACTTCCTAACTGCATCCCTTTAAATACTTATTTTTTTAGACGGACTCTCACTCCTTCACCCAGGCTAGAGTGAAATTGCATGATCTTGGCTCACTGCAGCCTCCCGGGTTCAAGAGATTCTCCTGCCTCAGCCTCCCAATTAACTGGGATTACGGGCACCCACCACCACCCCCAGCTAGTTTTTGTATTTTTAGTAGGGACGGGGTTTCGCCATGTTGACCAGGGTCTCGAACTCCTGACCTCAAGGAATCCACCCGCCTAAGCCTCCCAAAATGTTGGGATTACAGGCGTGAGACACCGCACCCGGCCTAAGCCAGGAAACACTTTAAATGCACATCCTCACATTTCTAGTCTATGCAGCTGGAAAAAAGGACATTCTTAATATGCTGACGCGGAGACCACCTAGTTACCCTACGGGAGAAAAGCAAGGCAAGGACCGACTGCACAGCAGGTTACCCCCAGGAAACCCAAGGGTGCGGCTGCCCACAAGAGCACATCATCTCTGCAGAAATACAAAAGCCCTAATGCTGGCTGCACTGGGGACACAGGTAGGAGGAAATTTTCCCCCGTAAATAGTTTTGAATTCTGAACTATGTGGATAGAACACCAAATTTTAAAACAAATAAAAGTGAACCTGGCTGGGCACAGTGGCTCTCGCCTGTAATCCCAGCACTTTGGGAGGCCGAGGCTGCAGTGAGCTCTGATGGCGCCACTGGTGCACTCCACCCTAGGTGACAGAGCAAGACCCTGTCTCCAAAAGTGAAGTCCTTTGGCAATAGACAGAAACGAGCACTTCTGCAGCTATCTTAAAAAACTAGTTTGGCACCAAAACTAGTTAAAGTGACACGGTGTCTGCCTCACTGAGCTGCTCTAGCAGAGGCGCAGGCATTCTGCAAACTGGCACTGCTGTGGGAAGGTGCTTACTCGGCACTGACAGCCATAAGCCAAGTCAGCTTTTCCCCCAGCAGTGCCACGGCCAGGACAATGCATCTCCCTCACAGCCATTATAATTTTTAAAGTTAAGATTCTAAACACAAAAAAAAAAAAAAAAAACCACTAGACATGCACTAAAGAACAAAACAAACCCTGGCTGGGGATGGTGGCCCACACTTGTAATCCCAGCACTTCGGGAGGCCAAGGCAGGTGGACCGCGTGAGCCCAGGAGGTAGAGGTTGCAGTGAGCTGAGATCGCCCCACTGCACTCCAACCTGGGGGACAGAGTGAGACCCTGTCTCAGAAATTAAAATACTACTTAGGCTACATTGTGAGGAGTGGTAAGGCTATGGATTTTGATTTCCTTTCTGTTGTTTTCTAACATTTTTAGTAACTTGTTTATGTAACTTCATTTTTAAAAAAATTGCTGTATACAAAATTTCCCCCAGAAAAGAAACTTCATCTATAACAAGTTAGAAAATGAAATTTTAAAATACCCAGTAAGACACATCAAAGAATAATTCTTTAAAAATGGTACCAGAACTCTACAGAGAATGTAAGGTACCAAAGGATGTTGAAGACCTAAATAAAAATATCACATTCATAGGTGCAAGTAAGTGATACTGTAACAGTGTCAATTCTCCTGAAAACTCATTTAGGGAATGAAAACAATCTCAATCAAACCCCAACAGGCCAGACACAGTGGCTCACACCTATAATCCCAGCACGGTGGATCACATGTGGCCAGTCTGAGACCAGTCCGGGCAACATAATGAGATCCCATTTCGACAAAAATTGTTTTTAAACATTAGGAATGATGGTTCACACTGTCTCAGCTACTCAAGAGGCTAAGGCAAGAGAATCATTTGAGCCCAGGAGTTTGAGGCTGCACACATCACTGCACTCCAGCCTGGGCAGCACAGACCTCGTCTCAAAAGAAAGAAACCATTGTTCATGAATTCATGACTCTGGAAAGATTTCTTAAGATCCCAAAAAAGCATCTAATGAAAACGTAAATGTTCTATTAAGAATACCTACTCATCAAAAGATACCTAAAGGCAGGTGAAAAGACATTTACCACAGATAAAGGGCATATAACGAATAGCGGGAAGAAAGGAGGGAAATCTTACACGCTTAGCCACTGTCAGGGCTGGGGGTTCTCGGTCCACCCTGGAAGCAGCTCCCACCACCGGGGCCACAGAGAAACCCACACAAGCCCCAGACACGCGGACGAGAATATTCAGAGCAGCCTGGTTCTCCACAACTTCTGACCAAGAACCACCTGAGGCCCAGCAGAGCAGAACGGAGGAGTCTGCTGCACCGAGGTGGGTTTCTGCAGTGGACATTATTCAGCTACGAAAATGAACTTGTGGCAGCCCCTCTGCGTAGGCAACCCTCATGCCAAGTGAGCAATGTTAGACTTCAGCAAACACCAAGATCCACCAAGATCCACGTACAAAGCTCAAAACAGGCAAAACTGAGCATGTTCAGGACATGCACAGGGTGGCAAAGCCATAGAGCAAAACAAGGACATGGTCACAAGTTGGGATGCAGCTGGCCGGCCAGGTTCCATTTCACATGGGTGCAGCCTAAACTGAATACAGCTCCTCAGAGTTACCCACATGTCCACAGGCCTCACACACTTCTCTTCTGTGTCACATTCCACAACAGAAGAACACCACACATAGGATTCTGGGGGATCCCGCAGGCTGGAAGGGCCAGGAGTGTGGCCTCACCTGGGGTTGATCTCCAGCGTGGGCTGCAGGAGCTGTGCACGCTCCTCCTGGGTCTTGGCCAGCTGCTGCATGCGCAGGAAGTGGCGGGCAGCCCCCATCTCCAGCACGGTGACCATGGCAGGGTGGGTGTCCAGTCGGAGGGTCACCTGTGAGCAAAGCCAGGGGTTGAGGGTGATAAAGGTTCCCAATGTGAGAGGGCTGGGGACTGGCAGCATCTTTACCAGGGGTGAAGGTCACCCAGACTACGAGGTAGCAGGCAGGATCTCAAGGACTCTCCTGTACCAGTGCTACTCCCTCCCCATGACCCACTAACCTGTGGGCCCTGAGCTGATGCCCCACACAGATACTGTGCCCTAGGGGCTCCACAACCCTGGTCCCCTGCTGCTGCCTCCAGGAGCTGCCCAAATCCATCCTCTGGTCCACGCCAGCCCACCCTGCACGAGGCCCCTCCTCCAAGTGACCATGCATGGGACACTCCTTTCTTGCTCCAAGCTAGACTGATTTGGTGGGGGCGGGGGTGGGTCTTAGCTCTCTGAAGCCCACCCAAACCCCCCTAAGAACCCAAGGGAGAAGTGAGCTCCTGAGGGCTGGGGTAGCATGTCCCTTCTTCGGAACCCCCATGTCCTTAGCTCCTGCAGGGCTGCGACCGGGACAGTCCACTGGGGCTGCGGGTTTTTCCGTTTTCAGTTCGCAGCTGCTCGGGAGCAGGGACGGGAGGAAGACACTGCCCTCCTGCCTCAGCGGCACTCCCGGGCGACACATGTGCCCACCAGCGACCCACAGGGTCTCCAGCTGACACCATGGGCTTCTGCTGCTGCTGGAAGGACACCCACCGGGCCAGGTTCTAGGAGCCACCAGCT